CCCAGCCTCTCCTCTGTCCTGCCCCTGGTGCTGCGTTTACCCAGTGCTGCGCTGGACCCTGCCCAGGTCCAGGGCAGAAAATGCGTAATGGGGGGTGGGTCACAGCACTCCCCTGCTGCAGCTGGGCAGTCCCCATGCCGGTGCGGGGACGGGAAGTAAATTTGGGAGCTGTCCTGGGAGGGGATGGAGCCTGCAGTGCTGGTGCTGTTCCGCCAAGGAAAGCTGCCCTAGCTGGTGTGCGCCATGACTCCTCCCCTGGACCAGGGCTCAGGGCTTGCTGCGCTTCGCCTGGCTCTCTGTCCCTGCGCTGGTGGTGGCCGCCCGCTTGTTGCGGTGGTGGGGGAAGGTGGGCATGAGCTCCGGCTCGCAGGCTGTGGGGCAGAGAGAGGGGTCAGCAGGGCTCAGAGCACCCCAGCCCTGCCCCGTGGTGGGGTTTACTTACGCAGGGGCTTCTCCTTGAAGTAGGAGCTCTCCAGGCAGTCTTTTGCTGTCGCCCTGTGAGGATGAGGGGTTGTAGCAGGCACCCCCATGAAGGCACTGACCTTCCCCCAGCTCTGGGGACAGCCCTGTCACGGGGACAGCGCGACGCAGGCAGCCCCATCCTCCAGCAGGTTTCCGCCCCTGGTCCTGCCCACGCAGAGCTGCCGAGGGCTCTTACCGCTTCTTGGGATCATACATGAAGAGGAAGTTGAGCAGCCGCAGGCCGGCCTCCGACAGCCAGGGGAACTTGTGCTTGAGGTTGTTGTAGGGCTGCTTCCGCAGGGTGTACTGACTCACCAGGGGCAGCTTGGAGAAACCCTGAAGGGGACAGAGCGTGAGGCAGAGGCAGGGAGAGCAGGCAGCAAACAAGGGACTGCTCTCACCGGCCAGATGTTTTCATTGGGCGTCCCCAGGAGCTGCACAATGAGGTCAATCTGGTGGATCTCCGAGGTACCTGGCAGCAATGGCTTGTGGGCCAGCAGCTCGGCAAGGATGCAGCCCATGGCCCTGCGGAGCAGAGGAGGTGCAAGAGTCACCAGGAGCAAGAGAAGCCCGTCCATTGACACCCCCCCTTGCAGGTTTGCAGCCCCTAGACCCCCTCCTGTCCTACCCCTTACCACATGTCGATGCTGGTGGTCTGGGTTGTCATTCCCAGCAGCAGCTCGGGCGCTCGGTACCTGTGCAGGGGACAGCACTGTCTCAGGGGGTCTGTGGTGGAGCCAGTGCTAAGGAAGCCCCCTGCTGCACTACGAGGACTCACCTGCATCACTCCCAGCCAGCACAGCCCCCCACACTGACCACTCACCACAGCGTGACGACTTTGGGGGTCATCGGCTTTGATGGCATCCCATAGGAGCGTGCTAGTCCAAAATCGGCTGTAACAGAGACTTGAGATCAGGAGAGAGGCAAGCTCCTCGCTCCGACTGTGTCATGGTGCGGAGGGAGAGCTGCAGGCACATCCGTGGTGGCTGCCAGGGGCTCACCTATCTTCACGCAGCCTTTGTCAGTCATGAGCAGGTTGGACACCTTCAGGTCCCTGCCAAGGAACAGAGAGTGGCTGGTCAGCACCATCCTTCAGACAATAGCTCCTCCTGTACCTGTGCTCCCCCAGGGTTTGCGGGCAGCTGCAGAGCCCCAAAGCTGAGCAATCACAAAGAGAAGCTGATCTCATCATTCGGTGGCCTCCCTGCCCCACCAGGGCTCCCATACAGAGCCACTGATTTGCCCAGAGGTACTCCACACCATGCTCCTTGCCCACAGGACATGAACGGTGAAGAATCACACCAGGGTTTGAAGATCATCAGGCTCCCTCCCATCAGCCCCTTCTCCCCATGTCCCCTTTCCCACCACATCCGTCCTGCTGCTCCCACCTGTGGATGATGTAGTTCTCATGAAGGTACTGCAGGCCCTTGAGGACTTGCAGGATGATACACTTCACCTGGAGACAGAGAATAGGAACACCGACCTCTGTGAGAGCAGCATCAGCTAGGCAAACCCCCAGAGGTTAAACCCACTCGGGTGCCCTGCAGTCTGCCACGTCTGTCACTGCTCTGCGGTGTGTCAGTCCCCGTGTCCTGCCAGAGTAGCTCATAGGCTGTCTGGGGGCACATTGTTCCCAGCTCCGTTTCTCTGCCAGTTTGCTCCAGCCCAAAACCCAACCTGGAAAGTCCCTGGAATGTCCTGCAAGAGCCAGCTAAGCGCAGGCTCCCCAGGAATGCTGGTTCACCTGGTGCTCCCCGGCCCTGCTGAAGCCCAACACAAGGTTCAGGGATCACAGTGTCTGGGGAGTCCATGCTGGTGGCCAACATGTTCTGTCTGGAGTGGCAGCACCCTCTCAGGAGTAACATACCTAAAGCTTAGCCCAACTTACCTGAGCCTCTGAAAAAGGTGTCTGCATGTTCTCAAGAAGGCTGGCTAGGTCCTGCTCGCAGTAGCCCATCACCAGGAAAATACTGTCATAGACAAGGCACAGTCAGGAGCTTCCCCTGGGACACCTCTCTGGTGTCCCAGCACTCACAGCGCAGGTCTGTGCCATAAAAGGCAGCTCAGGGAACCGAGAAGGGTCAAAAAGGCAGAGAGGGAAGGGGGAGAGGGCAGAGGGGAGACTCTCACCTCTCCAGATGGTTCCCTACAACCACATCCTTCAGCTCCACAATGTTGGGGTGCCGAAGCTGCAGGAGCAGGGTGATCTCTCGCAGGCTGCTAATGGGCATTACTGCAGAAAGCAACAGCCATGATGCACGACTGTCTCA